ACCTAATCACTCTTCATCGCCGATGCGTCGGCGATGCGGCGCGATCCTCCCATCTCACAGTTGATGTCTCAGCACCCTACGATCCAACGTGGAGAAAAAGCTGCAGCATCGCGAAAAACGAGGTCCGGACTTTTTCGCTGGGGCCTGTTTCCCATCCCGAGTTGTTGCTTGACCGTCCTGGGGCCCGACGAGGGACCCCCGAGGTCGAAAACGGACAAGCGCCTCCCGTGGTGGCTTCTACGGCGTGCTCATGTCCCAGCAGCTCTCCCACAGGAGGCGGGCAGGTCCGGAAGGTAGGCGTCGGGCTCCATTGGAACTGTGAGTTCTCCCTGAGTGTCAGGGCGAAGGACCTCCGCTCACGCGAGCCCTCTTCAGGTCGCAGGGAGGAGGAGGAGGAGGAGGAGGAGGAGGAGGAGGAGGAGGAGGAGGAGGAGGAGGAGAAGGAGGAGGAGGAGGAGGAGGAGGAGGAGTAGGAGGAGGAGAGGAGGAGGAGGAGAAGAGGAGGGAGGAGGAGGGAGGAGAGGAGGAGGGAGGAGGAGGATGGAGGAGGAGGGAGAAGGAGGAGGAGGAGAGGAGGAGGAAGGGATGAGGAGGAGGAGGGAGGAAAGGGAGGAGGAAGGAGGAGGAGGTAGGAGGAGGAAGGAGTGGAGGAGGAGGAGGAGGAGAGGAGGAGGAGGGGGGGTGAGGAGGAGGAGGAGGAGGAGGAGGAGGCGCGGAGGAGGAGGAGGAGGAGGAGGACTGCCCCGAGGCCGGGCGCGCGGCGGAGGCGCGCGCCTGTCTGGACTCTTGGGCCCCCTGCTGCTCGCCGCCCGTCCCCCGACGAGGAGCCCCTCCCCCCGCGGGCCCGGACCCCGCAGCGCCCCTGCAGCGCCACGGCTCTCTCGGAGGGAGGAGGGGGGGGGGCCATCGAAGCTCGATCCTCGATCCTCCCTGGTCCTCGGCCCTCGACCCTCGATCCTCGATCCTCCCTGGTCCTCGATCCTCGATCCTCGATCCTCGATCCTCGACCTCGACCTCGATCCTCGACCGAGGATCGCTCCTCGGTCGCGGCAACTCACTCGGGCGCGGCCTCGCCGGCCCCTAGCAAACCATCCCCCTGCCGTGACGTCACTCTCGCCTTTCGGGCTTCCCTCCGGCCGCACACGGGTGGGGGCCATCGATCCTCCATCCTCGATTCCCATCGACCCTCCTCGATGCCCCTCGACCTCCAGGTGAGTCTTTGTTGGAAGCTCGTTCTGACATGTACCGCCTCGGTTTAGCAGCCTCTGGTGGCCTTTCGCAGCCTTTCGTGTTATTAGCTGCCTTTAGTGGCCTCCAGTCGCCTTTTAGCAGCCTCCAGTGGCCTTTAGCTGCCTTTAACTGCCTTTAGTGGCCTCTGGCGGTATTCAGTAGCCTCTGCACAATTTTATCATCGGAGGTTCGGAGGTGAGATCGCAGTGGAACGGAGAGCCTCCCATCAGGAAATCTGTTTCGGTTTCGTGTTCGTGTCGTGCGTTCGGGCGGGGCGAGGCTGCGTGGGCGCGCGAGTGGAATGCCCCAGCCGACGCCAGGGCGATGCGGATGCGGTGGGCGCGCGATGGCCCGGGTGTACAGCCGTGGTGTCCTGTGGTGCCCTGTAGTGTCCCGTTGGTGTCCTGTCGGAGTTCCGTCGGCGGTGGGCGGGCGGTGGTCGGGGGGCCCCGCTTTAGTACCGATAGCGAAGTCAATAGTGAGATCGATAACGAGGTCGCAGAATGGAGCGGATAGTGAGATCAAACGTGAGATCGGCCGCGAGGTTGATTTTGACATTGGTTGTGACATCGATAGTGAGATCGATCCAGGAATCGATCATGAGATCGATCGATCGCTGGATGCATTGGTACGAAGACTGGCCGTGAGGTTGGTTGTGGGATCCACAGAGAAAGATCAGAAGCGATAATGACAATGAGATTGCATCGCAGCGCAATATCATCATCACACGTCGTCGATAACTCGAGCGCGCATCACCAGTATCGTCATCATCACACCCATCGCATTTGCTAGTCGTGTGTTCCTTCCCCCAAACCCCCAACCGCCGTATCACCCTAAGGATGATCGTACAGGTAACCATTCGGGTGATAGTGGGGTTGGGAAATGGGGGGACGACCCAACAGCTGGCAAATGCGATGGGTGTGATGATGGCGATGCTGGTGACGCGCCTTCGAATTAGCGACGACGCGAGATGACGATGTCACTATCGTCCTCGCTTTCGATCTCACTCGATCGATCCCACTATCGACCTCACAGGGTCGGTCACACTCGATCGACGTCACTGTAGATCGCACGATCGATTCCCCTCTTACAAGAACAAAGTTTCGACACCCACCACCACCCCGGGGCTATCAAATCGCCCTCGCATAAATTGCAAGTTACAGTTGACTCTGTCCCACTGTCCACCCTTCGTATGAACTCACAGCATTCCAAAAGGGGCCGGTACCTCCCCCCCCACCATCCCCTGCGAAAAACGGGACGCTTCCGCACTCACTCACCAATAATCATCAGTTTTCAAGAACCTTTTGCAAAATAATGAAACGATGTGCACAAACGCGCGTTGTCGCGCGCGCATGCCGACATCCTTCAAAAACCTTGGGTGCCTTAGGAATCTCAACACCGAGTGTCCACACACCATCCTTTTATAATATATATACGTGGTTTCGCAACACGGATTTCCGAGTCAAACTTGCGCGCGCTCTAGCGAATTCTTGATGAAACCAGTGGTGTTCATCAGCTTCAGGAAAAAACCTACCAGACGGGCTTCGCGCGCGCGCGTGCCGAAACCGTTCGAAAGCCTTTGCGCGCATAATGGAATCCGTCAAAAACCTGTTTGGTTTCGCAACGAGTTCAAAAACGAGTGCCGAAACAACAAATACAAAAAAATGCATCGCAACATCAGTTTTCACACCAACAAAACGTGCGCTCGCGCTTTTGCGAATTCAGAACAAAAAAAACGTGCGCTCTTGCTGTTGCGAATTCAAAACAATGGGTTTCTCAACATTTGAATGAAACCCTGCCAAAAGTGCCTCTGGCGCCGCATGCCGAAATCATTCGCGCGCCCTTGGGCGCGTGCTGGGGGGGCACGAGCCGTGTCAGACAACATCATGCCGGCCGCTCTCGCGCGTCGGCCGCGCGCGCATGTCGAACTCTTCCCAAAACCTACATCACCGGTGCGAGGACGCCGTCATCGTCGTCGGCGTGATTAGCATCGGCACCCGCACTGGCCGCGCCGCCGTCGCTGCCAACATCGTCACCAACATCGTTGCTATCATCATCGTGTCTACCATTGTCGACGTTGCCATGATACCGCGCCCGCCCACGTCGCCGACTCACACTGAAATGCCCGCTGGGATGTGCCCAGCGGTCAACGCCATCGCGGCCGCGCCGATCGCGCCAAACTAGCTGGCCGCTGCGCGCGCGTGCTTGGGTTGGCGCGGCCGCAGAGAAGCACCAGCCAACGCCAAGCACGCATCGCAATCGACACCGCATGGGTGTTGCAAACCAAGGTGCGGTTGGGTGGGCGGGATGTTTGCAAAAGCATGGAATGTGTCAACTCGTTTGTCGAAATCAATATATATATATATATATACATACATACATACATATACACATATAATTCAGCATATATTTCACAATAGATGTCGCTTTCGATCTCACGAGCGATCCCACAATCGATTCCTATATCGATCCCACTATCGATCCCACGAACGATCTCACAACCAATGTCGAAATAAACCTCACCGTCGATCTGACTTTGATCACTTTGATCTCACTACCCATCCCATTGTAGCGATCTCATCATCGATCTCTTTGATCATCATCTCATAGGACACCCCCGGCCACCGCCCGCCCACGGAACACCAACGGGACACCAACAGCACACCAACAGGACACCAAAGGACACCACGGCGGGACACCCCAGGCCACCGCAGGCCCCGGACTGCATCCGAATCGCCCTTGCGACGGCGGGGTCATTCCTCTCGCGCGCCCACGCAGCTTCGCCCCGCCCGAACGCACAACACGAACACGAAACTGAAGCAGATTTCCTGGTGGGGGGCTCTAAGTCCCACTGCGATCTCACCCCCTAACCTCCGATGTTCATACCAACTTCCAAAAAGATCAACTGAACGACCTAGACCGAGGATCGTTCCTCGGCCGCGGTAGCTCCTGCTCCAACAGCGCGTATCATAGCTGCCGCTGAAAAAAAGAAGTTCGTGACCGGACCTCTTCCGAGTAAGGCCGACCCGCCCTCAGGGCGAATATGTAGGCTCGGCCCAGGCATCTTCTTAAAGAGCGCAGCTGCGATTGACTGTGGCGCGGCATCCAAGAATTCTGCTTTGAGGAAATCCTCGATCCTCGACCTCGTCGAGCTGACCGAGACGGGCAAGCCAGAAAGGATGACGGTCTCATGGATGCGCCCTCGGAAACCGAAGGAACCCTCAAGATCGGCATCGAGGGAGGGCGATACCAAACATGTGAGCAGTTGTTTTATTCGGCGTTTCGACATTGGGCGCGCCCTTGGGGGGAGGTGGGGGGGTCTGAACCCGGACCTCTACCTAGTGCGACTGTTTGCAGCAGTGCGGCCGATGGTGGAGGGACCCCCCCCTGCTCGAAACAGGCGCCAAGAACAGCCAAGGTCTACTCCATATGGGGGAAGGGGGGGGGGGAGGGCCCGCGCCGATCGGCACAACGAGGAATCAAAAAACGATCACCATAGGGATGGGGACATAGTTCAAGCTGGCGGCGGCGGGGCCCCAAAGGAGGAGGAGAAGGAGGAGGAGGAGAAGGAGAAGGAGGAGGAGGAGGAGGAGAAGGAGGAGGGCGGAGGAGGAGGGGGAGGAGGGGAGGAGGGAGGAGGAGGAACAGAGGAGGAGGAGGAGGAGGAGGAGGAGGAGGAGGAGGAGAGGAGGAGGAGGAGGAGCAGGAGCGACCCCGCCGCCGCCATCGGCCCTCCTCTTCCGGGGGGGGGGGGGGGGGGGGAGCGGCGCCTCCCCCGCTCGGCCTCCTCCTCCTCCAGCGTGAGGCTGCGCCTCCCGGGGCGGCGCGCGCGCCGCTCGGGGAGCCGGCGAGCCGCAACGCCGCGGCTGCCCCGACGGCTCGCGCCGTCGGCTCGCCGAGGCTGTCGGCGAGGCCGAGGAGGAGGAGGAGGAACAGGAAGGAGGAGAAGAGGGGGAGGAAGAGGGGGAGGGGAGACAGAAGGAGGAGGAGGAAACCGAGAGGAGGAGGAGGAGCAGGAGGAGGAAGGGGAGGAGAAGGAGGAGGAGGAGGAGGACCTCGGAAAAGAAGTAGGAGGAGGAGGAGGCCGAGGCAGAGGAGGAGCAAGAGGAACAGGAGGACATCGGCGGTGGACAAACCTCCCTCTCGTAAGCCACCCTTTGGTGAAAACGGCCCGGGGCCGAAACCGACGGACCTGGATCCGCAAAAATCGTGGCCGCGACGCCCTCTCGCGAACCGAAAACGGCCAATTCGCTAATAGACGTGTCAGGGTAGGAGGTCTATTAACCTCCGAGGGGAAGGCGGGAGCATGGGTGCCGCGTGCGTCACCCCATGAAACTATATTATCGTCGCGTTTCCCTCGGTGGTGATTCGAGAGAATCGAGTTGTAGAAGGTCCAGGTCGTCGCCATTATCCTGCTACTGCTCCTCTTCCCTGCGGATTGCCTGACAAAGTATCCACCTCAGGACCGCAGTCTGCCAAGAAGAAACACATCAAATAATATTGCGACTTTTTTAACGGCGCCCCAAAACACAAACGAAGCGATCATGAAACGCGTCCTGTTCATAGACGGGGTAGGCAAGGATGGGAGGAGGGGCAAGGAGAGGCTTAAAAAAACTCGGAATGGGGGAAACCAAAGGTGGAGGGATGGCTGCAAGACTTCCCACCACAAGACAAGACAGCGGCAGCATCTCCACTAATTTGCAATCGGATGAAAAAGGCAAGCAACCTTTTGGTACTCTTCCAATTGCGACTAAGCCGCCACTCCAGTCTATCAGTCCTTTGCAGCAGATCGGAAACGTCGGACCGTACCACGTAGAATCACTGAACACATCCTTCATCCCTCCTCCCACCTTCTCTTCCTCCTGCTTCTCCTCCTCCTCCGCCTGCTCATCATCATCATCATCATCATCATCATCATCATCATCATCACCACCACCATCATCATCCTCATCATCATCAGCATCATCATCATCATCAGCATCAGCATCAGCATCAGCATCAGCATCAGCATCATCGTGATCAGCCTCACCATCATCATAATCGTCATCCTCCTCCTCCTCATCATCATGATCATTATCATCATCATCAGCAGCAGCATCATCATCATCATCATCATCATCATCATCATCATCATCATCATCATAATCATGACCATTATCATCATCATCAACATCATATCATCATTACCATCACCATTGCATCATCATCCTCAGCATCATGATTACTCTCATCATCAACAGCATCATCATCATCGGCATCATCATCATTGAATCATCATCATCATCATCATCATCATCATCATCATCATCATCATCATCATCGGCATCATCATCATCATCATCATCATCATCATCATCATCATCATCATCATCATCATCATCATCATCATCATCCTCAGCATCATCATTACCATCATCATCCGCCATCCTTTGTCTTGCTCTGGTCCTGTGAGGGCCCGTTGGGACGTTTTTTGGGGGCACGTTGGGGGTGTTTGGGGACATCTGTGGAGAAAGATCGGAGGCTGTGGGATGAGTAGTTCGTTGTAGTTCGGAAGCAACCAATCGGGAAATCGGTTTCTGTTTCGTGCTCGTGTCGTGCGTGCGAGCGAAGCGAAGCTGCGTGGGCGGCTGCGTGGGCGGGCCGTAGGAATGAACCCTCCGTGGCTAGGGCGAAACTAAGCTCAATGACTCTACGCCCCCCGGGATATCGATAGATACATCAGGGAACCGAACTCTATACACCGACGCTTGTTCCGGCCCTGCACTGGAACTCGCACGGGAAAGCTGATCCTGGTGTATACGGGATCCTCGTGTATACAATTCTCGATGTTTCCTCGGGAACACGGGGAAAGAAGTATACACCACACCATCTCGACATCGCCCCCGACCCTCAAAAGTCCTGGAATTGAGAAACAGCCCGCCACTGGTAATGTACATGTTCTTATTTAAGGTATATAGGTAGATAGATAAATATCTAGAGCAGGCGAGTGGTGATGCCAAACTCTGCCATCGCACTCCTGGCCTCAACACCCACACTATGTGAGCATGGCTCCCGCACGCGTCTCCCACATTTCTTCAGGTAAATTCGGTTCAAAACATCACACGTTGACCATATCGATTGTGGTGCCGTGGAATCGGTAATCATGATCATGAGCATCAGAAACATCATCGCCAGTAGCGTCACAAACAGCACCATCACGATAATCAGCACCATCACCCTTATCGTCATCACCAGCATCATCGCACAAAAATCAAGGTGTTCAACTACCTGGCCTGCCACACGGAAGCAATTCGTTAATGAGATCGATGAGATAAAGAGACCGTAAAATAGATAGACTGGTCGATTGTGAGTCTGGTAACGATACTGACAGATCGGATGATGGGGGGTCTTTATCGAAAGATAATGAGATTGACAGTGAGGCAGGTAGTGGTGTCCGAAAGTTCCCGTGGTGTGTTGTGATGCCGTGTGTTCTGCGCATGTCCACATGAAGGGAAGAACGCGCGGGCAAATAAATGAGACCTGGTTCCGCTGGTTGTCCCGATGCGTTGGTGTCTCGTACTGAGTTCGAGTGCGAGGTCGATAGTGAGACCGATTGTGGGCCGAGTGCGATATCGATAGTGAGATCGATAAGGAGATCGATGCATGGATAGAGAGTGTGATTGGTAGTACAATCGGGAGATAAGCCGATAGTGAGATAGATCGTGAGATCCCTAATAAGATCGATGGCGAAGTCGGTAGATCATGCAATCGACCAACGAGGGAGATTACTCGTGAGAACGATAGTGGGATCGACTGTGATATCGACATATATCGAGATCGATACTGCAATCGATAGTGGTGTCCCGCGGTGTCTCGCGGTCTACCGTTGTCTTGTATGCTCTAAATACGTTATTCGGAAGGCAAGAGCGCGCGGGCAAACAAATGCCACCTGGTTCCGCGGGTTGCCCCGACGTGTTCTGAATGATGTCCCGATGAAGAAATAGATGGACAAACATACTCCCTTTACTTTCGTCAAACGTCGTAGAGAAAATGAGTGAACGGGCAAATACATGCCTCCTGGTTCCGCTGGTTGCCCCGATGATTCCAGCTGGATATTCCGATTGATAGATAAGTGGGCAAGCAGATTGCCCTGTAAGTTCATAGTACGCTCTAGAAGAAGAAACATAACGCGGGTAAACGAATGCAACTTGGTTCCGCTGGTTGCCACGGTGATTCCCGATGTTTATCACGGACGCCTTCGAAACACAATCGGTGGTACTCCGTGGTGCCCAAGTGGTTTCCACCGAATCCGACCCGACCCCTATCACACACCGAAAGGTGAACTCCACACACACACACACACATCGTCCTTATCACCCGAAGGATGCTCGTATAAATCCGCCGACCCTGTCGGCATGTGGAAGACGTATCCTGGTCTCGTCATCGTGCGTGGGTCGTCGTCGCCCACGGGGTCGTCACGTCGGCTCCAAGAGGGGTGGTCGGCTCCTCTCGGGGGAGGGGAGCTGCCCACGACACCGCCACGTCGGCTTCAAGAGGGGGAGTGGTCGACTCTCCCCGGGCGAGGGGGGGAAGCCAATCTGAGCAACGTCGTAGCTTACTCGAAGGGAAGCCCCTTCCCTTTTACCCTTTCCCCCCGAGGGGGGGGGGCGGGGGGGGGGGCGGGGAGGGGTAAAGGGGGGGGTCCCACGGGGATACGAGGGGGGTGGGGGGGCACCCGGGCGGCCCCCTTCGGGGGAGGGGAGCGGCCGCGACGCGGAGGGGAGCGGCTGCGACACGGGGGGGAAGCCAATCTGAGCAACGTCGTAGCTCACTCGAAGGGAAGCCCCTTCCCTTTTATCCCTTCCCCCCGAGAGGGGGGGTGAGGGATGGGGGGGTGTCCCACCCCCGGATCCCCGGTTGGGGGGGCACCCGGGCGGCTCTCTTCGGGGGAGGGGAGCGGCCGCGACGCGGAGGGGAAGCCAATCTGAGCAACGTCGGTGTTTACTCGACGGGGAGGGGTCCCAGAAGGGGGTTCCAAAGGGGGTCCCGGGTCAGAATACCACCCTCCCGGGGCCCATGGCCCGCCCTCTCCCTCCCATTTCCGTCGAGGGTCGAGGCCTCCAGGGTCGGCAGCACTGGCCATAAGGCCTTATACTCAAAATGTTTTTCGCCTTCGGTCTCGAGGGCAATTTGGCTGCCTCCTGGACGTTTCTTGCACCGTGTTGGGTGCATTTTGTGCTATCTTGGGCCATCTTGGGGCCTTCGTGGGAGCCTGATGGCCCGTGTTGGGGTGATCGTAGGGGTTCTTCGGCCGTCGTGGAGCGCTGGAAGCAGGGAAAAACGGACACGCTAAAACCCGCCGAAACCTTTAAAGACGCAAATGGATGTTGCCGCTCGGCGCTCTTCTGGGGGTCATTCTGGGCCTCTGGGGACGTTTCGGAAGCCGCTTGGGCAGTGACTGGCGCGACCTTATCGCGAGGGTCTCTCAGATGATAAATGTCAGCCACAGTGAATCGCAAACAGTAATTTGTGACACTATGAGTGTGCAAACTTTGTGGTCGCAGCTACGCGATGCAAACTTTGTGGTGCAAGCTACGCGGTGCAATCTACGTGGTGTAATCTACGTGGTGCAGGCTGTGTGGTCCAAGCTACGCGGTGCAAGCAACGTGGTGCAAAGCCACGTAGTGCAGTCTACGTGGTGCAAGCCACGTGTTGCGAACTGTGTGGTGCAGGCTACGTGGTACAACACGTGTGGTGCAAGCTGTGTGGTGCAAACTGTGTAGTGTATGCTATGTGGTGTAAACGTTCTGGTGCATTTTGTGTTGTGGATACTGCGTGGTACAGTCAACGCGGCGCAGGCTGTGTGGTGTCAACGATGCAGTGCGGCGGCGGACGGGCTCGGGGCAGCGGGGCCGCAGACGGCCAGGCCCGCGGAGTGAAGAGGAGAGGGGAGGAGGGAGGAGGAAGGAGGGAGCAGGGAGGAGGGAGGGGAGGGGGAAGGAGGAGGAGGAGGAGGAGGAGGAGGAGGGAGGAAGAGGAGGAGGGAGGAGCCCTTGAGTGCAAGCACCACACGCCGCCGAAATGGAGTCGGAATGAATGGGGTCGGAAGATCGCGCCGCATCACCGACACATCGGCGGCGCACTGGCGGCGCATCGGCGACGCATCGGCGATGCATCACCGACGTCGGCGATGTATCGGCGACGCCTGCGCGGGGAAAACCGAATCCATCATCGAACCGCATCGGCGGTGCATTGGCGACGCGGCGCGATCCTCAGACCCCATCTAGTCGGACTCGTTTTGGGAGGCCTTGAAACACGGCTCGGGGCATCAAGTCCGCCCTTCTTCCCAGCCATATTGTGGTGTTGGGTCCTCGTTTTGAAGACACGACCCCCGCGGTCCCCATCCCTCCTTCATGCCTCCTTCCCCTCCCTCTTCCCTGCACTTCACCCACCCAGTACAGCGCTTCGTGGCCGCATAGGGAGCTCCACCGAAAGCGACAGTGGCACGGATCGCATGGCGGCCTCGGGCCACTTCGGTACACCCACCACGAGGATCGTGGCCCCATAGGAGCTCCACCGATGGCACCAGTGGGAGGGTTCGCGCGGCGGCCTCGGGCCATTTCGGCACACCCCTCATGAGGATCGTGGCCCCGTGGGGAGCTCCACCGAAAACCCCAGTGACAGGGTTCGCGTGGCGGCCTCGGGCCATGTCGGCGCACCCCTCACGAGGATCGTGGCCCCCTAAGAGCTCCACCGAAGGCGCCCGTAGCAGGGTTCGGCTTGCGGCCTCGGGACATATCTGCACGCGCACCTCACGAGGAGCGTGGCCCCATACGGAACTCCACCGAAGGCCCAAAGGGCAGGGTTCGCACGGCGACCTCAGGCCATGTCGGCACACCCCTCACGAAGATCGCGGTTCCAGAGGGAGCTCCGCCGAAGACGCCAGCGGCAGGTTTTGCACGGCGGCCTCGGGCCATTTCGGCACACCCCCCGCGAGGATCGCGGCCCTGTAAGGAATCCCGCCGAAGGCCCCAGTGGCAGAGTTCGCGTGGCGGCCTCGGGCAATTTCGGCACGCCCCTCACGAGGATCGTGGCCCCGTAGGGAGCTCCGCCGAAGGCCCCAGTGGCAAGGTTCGTACGGCGGCCTCGGGCCATTCTGGCACACCCCTTAGGAGGATCGTGGCCCCATAGGTGTGCTGTTTCAACAAGTGCGCCTGGGCGTCGTACTCCGCGCTGTCGACGTGTAACGCCACCTCCTCCCTCATGGCTCTCAGAGCTCTCTCCTCCTCCTGCTCCTCGGTCAAAGGGACGCCGTCCTCGTCGTCGTCGGCGCCCGCGAAAACGCCCACGAACGTGTCCTTGAGCACGTCGGGTTCCGGCGGGAATCCGTGGCCACATGGGGAGCGCGGGCGAAAATGGTAGTCACAATTGCGGTATTCACAATTGCACCTGGTTGGGTCCTCCGCCAGGCTAATTTCGGGGGGCCTTTGGGGACCTCTTTGGGGCCGTCTTGGGGAACTCTCTTGGGAAGCTGTTATGGGGGTCCTCCCGGTTGTCGTGAGCTCACTTGGGACTGGCTCGGAGCCCAGCGCTGCTGGATGGACACCCGAATTATCTGGGATATGTGCAGTCCGGGATACTTCCGGTTTGGGCACCGTGGACACGACCCCGTAGCTACCCCCGACTGTCCCCAGACCCGTTTTTTTTAGCCTGTGCGCGAAACCACCGGCATCTGCGTCCGCGCGTGGGACCACAGCGTCTCTGACGACGCGCCAGGGTTGGCAGCGTCGATGGTTGATGAAGAGCAGTCCGGCTTTCCCGCGGGCGCGCTGGTAGCCCAAACACACACTCTTGGAGTGAGGGCATCAGCAGACAGTGGTGGTGGCACACGAAGTGGCTGACCAGCCCTCGCATCCATCACCACGCCCGGAGCCAACACAACAGCCAACGCCCAAACGTGACAGCCACTACTTCACGGCCTCCGCCAGAAAAGCAGCTCGAAAATGTTATGTTTGCTCCACGGGCTCGCACATGTGGCGAGGTGGAACAGGTGTGACACTCATGCGTGTGACGAAGTGTCCCGCGACTGGCAGGCACTCACTCGTGTGGCGAGGTGGAAGAGCATTCAACGGCGTACGGCGTGTATACCAACCAGAAGGCGACCGGGAACGTACGCCGACGAGCCCCATGCTGCTGCTGAGCAGGAGTCGCGCCGTCTGCCACCCTCTGAACGGCATATGAAACCGGCACCGTCAAAACAGAAATGCGATGCGATGCACGGCAATTCTGTAAGCCGATTCCTACCGCAATCCACTGAAGCGTCGCCGTGTGAAACAAGAACGAAATCTGAGATCCCAGACCCCCGACATTATGATCTTTTCATAACGCCGACCCTGAGAGGTCTCGACCCATTTCCCGGGGCCGGCTTCTCGTCCTGAATCGTTGTTTGACGGTCCCCAGGCCTGGTAAGGGCCCCCAGAGGCCGAGAATTCTGGAGAAACCTTCCGTCGTGCTTTGTTCCGTGCCCGAGGGGGTCTGGGTTCTGGGGTCGAGTTGGAGCCGCCGTCGCCCCTGTCGGGCTTGGGCCTGAGGGTGCGCGGAGGAGAGGGTGCGTGCACGAGAGGGGGAGCACCTCCAGAGGTCCCGGCCGACCGGCAGAGCAGCCCCAGGCACGCGGCCGGGAACCTGTCGGCCCGCGAGGCGCCCGCCGAGGACGGCAGGCGCGCGCCCGTGGGGGGTCCCATGCAGCTATACACACAGTGTGGCGCTCGCCGGAGGAGGAGAAGGCTCACTCACACCGCCTCTACGTCGCCCCACAACTTGGGCCTCACGGGCACCGCCTCGACGCCCGCCGCCGCCGCCGGGTCTCGGTCAGAAAGGAGCTCGGGGTGCTCGAAGAGCTCGTGCAACACCGGCAGCAAGTCCCCAAAGAGCTCGACCTCGGCCTCCCAGAGCGACTCGTCCGCCGCCAGCCGGACCTGCTGCATGCTGGCTGGGAAGAAGCGCGGCTCGTCGGCGAGCAGCGCCACCAGGGCCGATGCGTCGGGTGAGGTCGCCTGAGCGTGGAGCAGCTTCCAGTACAAGGCCAGCATCACGTTTACCAGCCGCTGCTTGTCGCACCGCAGGCCGTTGCAGTGCTTGCGGGAGCAGCAGGTGAAGCTGCCCTCGAAGATGCCGAGAGCCTCGGCGTGGTCCTCCGTCGAGGCCCAGAGCGGCCGTAGCCCGCACGCGTCGTAGACGAAGGCGTTCGCCGACTGGGCATTGGTCGCCAAGAAGCTGAGCTGCTCGACGCGACACCAGCCGCGGCGGCGGTAGCTCGCCGTGTCCAACGTCTCCCCCAGCTCCTGGTGCGTGCACGTCGGCGTCACGGCGACGAAGATGCGGCTGCAGGCGACGTAGAGCGAGAGCGAGTTGATGGCGCTCTGCTGCTGGTCGCGGTTGGCCTGCGGGATGGAGTGGTAGTCCACCCACACGTGGGTGCAGGGCCACCCCGCGGCGGCCAACGCGTCGAGCGCGGAGACCATGGCCGCGTAGTGCTCCCCGCCCGGGTCCGGCGCGACGAAGCTCGTCCACTGGTGGCTGAAGAAGGCGATGCCGCCGTCCCGCTTGAGGCGCTGCATCTCGGCAGTGGTGTCGAGAAAGAGCAGGGAGCCCCCGTCTCGGGCCTCCTCGTGAGACAGGAGCCGGCCGCCCCGCCTGAACTCGCCCACCTGCATGACGCACATGGGGAAACGGCTCCGCATGATGTCGCTCGTCGCTGCCGCGACCTGGGAGCGGAGCCTGTGATCGCGGTAGACCTCGAGCTCCCATGCGCGCTTCAACGTCTCCCGCACGTTCCCGACGATGAGGCCGCCGAGCACCACCCCGGTGATGCAGGTCACCAGCACGAGCAGCGCCAGCTGCGTCCAGAACTCAGCGCTGGTGTTAGGTCGGGCGTGTCCCCCTGCAGGAGGATTTGGGACGGACAAGCAAAAACTCACAAAATACTTCAAACATGGTCGGATGATAACAGACAAACCGTCCCCTGACTACTTGTGGACTAGCTTTGACCGTTCCTCCTGTAGAGGGACAGGCCCGACTTAACGCTGGTGGCCGGCCAGCCCTCCGCCGGCGCCACGCGCAGAGACCACTCGAGCCCCACCTCGGGCAACGACACGGCCGCCTCGACCGGGTCCGGCAGCACTGTGCCCGGGGGGTGGTTGGGCGAGTGCGCGAATACGAGAAGAAGAAAAAAACGCCATGAACATAAACTTCTGGCGCTCCGCGCGGATTTCTTGGATCTGCGCCGGACCCCCCCCCCCCCCCTGGCGCGCGGCGCGCGCCAAGGGCCGCGCCGGAGACGCCGCCGGAGGCGCCGCCGGGGGGCCCCGGCGCGGATCCAAGAAATACGCGCGGAGCGCTAAAGGTTTATGTTTATGGTGTTTTTCCTCCTTCGAAATACGCCCTGCACGTCCTCCAGCGACGGGTGCGGCACCCGCGTCCGGAGCTGGTAGGCGAAGCTTCGGCCGCAACTCATGGGATCCTCCCATACTGCGCGAGTCGACGCTAAATCGACGCTAAGTCGAAGGTAAACCGACGCTAAATCGGCCCATCTCATCGACTCCCGGTCGCTAATCGACGCTAGTCGACGATAAAGACCGAATTGAAAGGGTACTCCAGAGTTCGTAATAAAACGGAGGGGGTCTGGAGCCTCCAAGACAAGCCATTTCAGACCTCCCCCGTGGGAGAACCCTCCAAAACATCGTCCCCAGACCCCCCAGGCCCTCCAAGATAGCCTGGAGGAGACACCCCCCCCCGAAATGAGACCCCCCTCCCTTTATTACGAAATCTGGAGCATGCAGGCTCTCATGGTTTGCTACCGAACGAAGCGGGTCGTGCCCCCCACGCTGTGCCCGCCGCCGGCGAGGCGCCCGAGCTGCACGGGGCCGAGCAGTGTCGGGACGAGGGAGACCTGAAGGGGCCCCAGGACACACAATTAAATACACACAAGTAAAAATATTCCCCATATTTTCCTATATTTTCTGGGGGGTTGTCTTCCCCCTCACTTCCCATATTTCCCCATATTTTCTGGGGAATCGACGATTAATTGTGTCTGTGTGTTTTTTTCCTCCTGAAGACCATCGTGGCAAAGGCGAAGAAGTGGGTCGGCTCCGGCACGCCCGCGACCTCCACATCGGGGCCGGGGAAGTGGCAGTTCTCGAGCTGGAGCGCCGGGGTGGAGCAGTCCACGGTGTGCACCTCGCCGCCCGCCAGGAACGGCTCGCTGGGGACGAACTCGGGCGCGAAGCGCGTGAAAACGGGGTGCCTGGGGGAACCAAAAGGTACCGATACCGCTACTCCCCAGACTTCTCACGAGGTGCGTTGTGACCAAAATTTCGAGGCAAATCCAGCAGTGGTGACGAGGGCCTCCGAGGAGGCCAAAACGGGGAAAACGAAGGAGGGGTACAGGTATGGGCATCCTTTCCTACTCTGAGTGCCGGACAATGATCCCCACGCCGCCCTGCATCAGCTGGAGCGGACCGAGCACGAGGGTCTGGCGGCTCCGGATGGTCTCCAGGGCCCCGAAACGCCGGTCCGGGTCCACGAGGATCAGGCAGGTGGTAATGGCGGGTGACCTAAATAAATGGGGGGGGAAAGGGCCCTAAAGGGGCCTTAGAGGGCCCCTTTAGGGTCCTTCTCCACCAACCCTTGTAGGTCACCCCCCACTACCACCCGCCCGAGAGGAGGTTGTGTCCCAGCACTCCGCGGTTGTCCTGCGTGGCGTCGGCGAGGGGCACGACGGCGGTGACCTTGCCAAAGGGCGCGAGCTGCAAATTGGAGATGCCCCCGTACGTCTCGATCAGCATCGCCGCGATCGTCTCGAAGCCGCTCCGCGTGAAGTTGGCGTCGTCCACCTGCAGCATGGCCGCGATGGCGTGCGTCGAGCTGATCGACGTCCGCACCTGGCGGGCGAGCTCCTCGGCGTAGGTCACGGCAAGGGCCTGGACCGCCGCGCGGAACTGGTCCTTGAGCAGGGACCGACCGTCCCGGCATTCTTTTAAGCCTACCACGACATGTTCTTGGAACCCACAACTGTTCGAATAACCAAAACAATGTTCTTGTATAACAGAAGCCCGATGTGCTGAACCAAGACAGTCCCAGCCAGAAATGTTATGAGAACACTTCGTTGGAGGTTTTTGGAGCATTCTTTGGTAGGCTCAAGTCGGGCGTCCCCCTACAGGGGGACTTGGGGCAAAAAACGACAGACACTGGAAGAATGCCCCCCACATCGGAAAAACAAGTGAAAAAAAACGTCCCGCGGCTATTGTTTGACTATTGTCGAATTTCCCTCCCCAGACATCCGGCTGCTCCATTTTTTGGGGGGCGCGGCCCCAGGAGGTCTGGACCACTTCCCTGGGACCGGTTTTTCGTCCTGAGTCGTTTTTTGACGCTCCCGAGGCCCGGCGAGGGCCCCCGGAGGCCGAAAACTGGCAAAAACCGCCAGCTCCAATTTTTTGGGGGCGTCGGATCTCAGGGTCCCGTAGAGGGACACGCCCGACTGAATGGCCCACGGGGCGAGCCGGCACGCTGCGCCACTGCCCGAGGTCCTGCCTTGCCCGCTCGTCGTCGGAGAAGCGCCACGACCCGAGGCCCAGGACGAGCGCCAAAACCAGGGCCGTCGCAAACAGCTTGGGAGACCTCCACGAGAAGGAGGGGGAAGAGGAGGAGGAGGAGGACGAGGAGGAGGACGACGAGGACGACGAGGAGGAAGAAAAGAAGAAAAGGAGGTGGAGGGGTGGACCCACACGGTGTTTCATTAGGAGATGTCGTTGGCCGCTTTCGTTTCGATCTCGTTCTGCGTCAAAGGCGGACGGAAGGCAGAACGAGGGCAAACGAGAACAAAACAAAAACGAAAAACACCGTTTCGGTTCAGTCCTGACCTCCACCACACCTGCCGCACGCTCTTGTAGAAGAAGAAACAGCGGCATAAACACACACACACACACAAACTTTTGGCGCTCCGCGCGGATTTTTTGGATCTGCGCGGGACCCCTCTCCCTGGCGCGCGGAGCGCGCCAGGGGCGGCGCCGGAGGCGCCGTCGGGGGGCCCCCAGCACGGATCCAAGAGATCCGCGCGGAGCGCCAAAAATGTATGTTTACGGCGTTTTTCTCCTTCGATCTTGGTCGACAGGGCAGGCTCGGTCACGGCCGCCGCCGGCGCCCCAGAAGAGTTCCACCACAACTGCCGGACGCTCCTGGCCGACGAGGCCGGGCTGGCCACGCTCCTGGACTGCCCGAGCTCCAGCTCGGAGCAAGGGCTGCACCGGAACGGCGCTCTGCCGCTGCCAGCCGGCATCGCGCCCCTCCCGCCCGTGAGCCAAAGGGGCTTGAGCCCGAACGGCTACGGAACTGCCCCATGATTCGGGAAGGTTCCCAAACCCCCTCGGGCAATGAAAAAAACATACCGGGAGGATTTGCCATATTTTCGGCCTCTGGAGGTCCTTGCAGGGCCTCGGGACCGTCAAAAAACGACTCAGGACGAGAAACCAGTCCTGGGGAATGGGTCGAGACCTCTCGGGGAAGACGCTTTTTTTATTGTTTGTTGTTTTATTCCTTTTATTTAATAATAATAATAATAATAATGACGTCGGGGGTCTGGGTTGGGCGCCCGAACTATCCGGGACACCCGCTGTCTGGGGTAACTCTGGTGTGGGCCCCCGAGGCGCGAGTGTGCAGGTATGCCTGACCACCCTCAGCCCTGATGATTGGGAGCTCTGAGGCGGGGGCTCTTGGGATGATGTTGGGCCGCGCTTCGAGTGCTAACCATTGCTGACCTTGGAGGGCCACTGGGGCGCCTTCGCGTTTCTGCGGGGCCTCTCTGTGGGATTCTTGGGGGGGGCAGCCTCGCGGTTCGCGCGGGTCTCGTTTGGTCGTTTGGGCGCAGGGCCCTGCAAGCCCGTTCGGTCTCCCTCCCGTGGTTGCGTTTAGAGGACCGTCCGGAGGCCTCCCTCCTCCTCCTCCTCCTCCTCCTCCTCCTCCTCCTCCTCCTCCTCCTACTCCTACTCCTCCTCCTCCTCCTCCTCCTCCTCCTCCTCCTTCCACCTCTCGTCCTCCTCCTCCTCCTCCTCCTCCTCCTCCTCCTCCTCCTCCTGCTCCTCCTCCTCCTCCTCCTCCTCCTCCTCCTCCTCCTCCTCCTGCTGAGGGGCCAGCTCGAGGCCCTCTGGGGCCAGCATGGAGCGCTTTTTGGGAGCCTGGCGCCTGGCGGCGCTCGATGGGTCCAGCCCTTGGGCATCAGGGAGGAGGAGTGCGGAAATCCAGCGACGACGGCGCGGATAGCAAAACAAGTCTGGCCCCTGGGGCCGCTATTGGGGCCTTTTGGGGGGGCTCATCGGTGCCCTCAGAGGCCTCGGGGGATTCGTGCAGTATCGTTCGGGGGTATCGGGGAGGGCCAGTTGTCAGAAAAGGCTCTGGGCTCCGAAGGCCCCCGCTGTGAGGCCCCTTGGGCTTCCCTGGCGGCCGGCTTGGGGCGCTTTCATACGCCCTCTTGGACCGGCTTGGGGCGCTCTTGGGAGCCTCTTGAGCCGTCTTGGACCGTTTGGGGGTATTGTTAGCCTGACAAAGCGAGAACGCAAAATCAACAGAAAAAACAGAGAAGGCCAGCACCTCTCTTGGGGCGTCTGGAGACATCCTGGGCCAAGGTAGAGACGCCTCCGAGGCCGTCTCTGAGGCCCCTGGCGGCCGTCTTGGGGGTGACTCGGAGCTGCCTCGGGCCGCGTTTCCGCGGCGGCGATCCCCGAAAGTTGGGCATGTCCCCCTACAGGCTGACATGGACGAACATGCAAAAATATAAAAGTGTATCCACTATGAGCTCTTGCTATACATATATATAAATGAATATGTATATAAATATGCATGTATGTATATATAATGTAAATGTGTATATATATATATAGATGCATGTATGTATATATACATATATACATATGTATGTTTGTCTGTGCTGCACAAATCGGAGGTGAGGGGGTGAGATCGAAGTGGAACGGAGAGCCCACCTACAAGGAAATCGGTTTCGGTTTCGTGTTCGTGCGTGCCGTGCGTGCGGGCGAGGCGAAGCTGCGTGGGCGGGCGAGAAATAAGTCTCCTGTAGCTGAGGCGCGGCCGGACCAAAAGTCTCCGTTCTGGCAACCGGTGCCCCGCGGTGTCCCGCTGGTGTCCCGCTCGGGGGCCGGTGGCGCGCGGTGTCCCAGCCGTGTCCCGCCGGTGTCCCGTCGGTGTCCCGATGATGATGATGATGATGATGATGATGATGATGATGATGATGATGATGATGATGATGATGATGATGATGATGATGATGATGATGATGATGATGATGATGATGATGATGATGATGTGATGATGATGATGATGATGGTGGTGGTGATGATGATGGTGTCCTGATGATGATGATGATGATGATGATGATGATGATGTTGACGATGCTGATAATGCTGATGATGATGGTGATGATGATGGTGCCCCGATGATGATGATGTTGATGATGATGATGATAATGTTGCTGATGATGATGGTGGTGCCCCGATGATGATGATGATGTTGATGATCATGATGTTGATGGTGATAAGATGATTTGATGATGCTGATGATGAAGATGGTGATGATGATGATGATGGTGTCCCGACGATGATGATGATGAGTTTGATGATGATGCCGTTGATGCTGATGGTGATAATGATGGTGCCCCGATGATGATAATGATGATGATGACGATGATGGTGTCCCGATGATGATGATGAGGTTGATGGTGAGGATGATGATGAGGTGATGCTGATGATTTTGATGATGATGTGTCCCGATGATGATGATGATGAGTTTGATGGTGATGATGATGGTGTCCCGATGATGTTGATGATGTTGATGGTGATGATGATGTTGGTGACGATGATGATGGTGTTCCGATGATGATGATGATGATGTTGATGATGATGATGCTAATGACGTTGATGATGATGATGATGCTGATGGTGTCCCGATGATGATAATGATGTTGATGGTGTTGTTCATGACCATGACGATGAGATGATGATGATGATGATGATGGTGGTGTTCCGATGGTGATGATGGCGTCCCGATGATGATGATGATGTTGATGGTGATGGTGACGATGATGGTGTACCGATGTTGATGGTGATGTTGATGATGTTGATGATAATGGTGATGAGGTGCTGATGATGATGATGATGATGATGATGATGATGATGATGATGGTGTCCCGATGATGCTGATAATGAAGATGACAATGCTGATGACTTTGATGACGATGATGTTGATGATGATGACGTTGATTGTGATATCGATTGTGATATCGATAGTGAGATCGATAGTTAGACCAAATGTGAGATCGATTGTGAGATCGATCGTGAGATCGACGGTGAGATCGATTGAGAGTTCGACAGTCAGATCGATTGTGAGATCGATCGAATGAAATAGATCGAGTGAGATCGATTGTGAGGTCGATCGAGTGGGATCGATCGAGCGAGACCGATTGTGAGATCGATAGTGAGATTGATAGTGAGACCGATCGAGTGAGACGTTGGTTCCTCCCCCCCCGAACCTCCTTATCACCCGAGGGGTGGTCGTACAGGTACATGTTTTGGGGTATTTGACAATTTTGTGCTCTTACCCCCAAACACAGTCCCCCGACTTTCTGATTATTTAACTATTTTGAATACTCCTCCTGTAGCGGGACACGCCCGACTTCAGGGAAGCACAGCTGGGGCCCCCGAGCAGGCGGGCCTGGCGCCCAGCATCAGGTCGGGTATGTCCCCGTAGGGCGGATTTTGGACGAAAAACTGAAATAACCCCCCAAAAATCAAAACTAGTCAAAAATACTCAAATATTTCTTTTATATATATATAGATATATATATATAAATATATATATGTAACTATACATATATATATATATAAATACATAAAAATCAACCAACAAACCAAAAACGCCCCCACACTATATTTTGACTGTTTTAGAATTTTCACTCACACGCTTTGGGACGCACAGAGACATACGGATAATAAATATATATATATATATATATATATATATATTGTATATATATATATATAATATAGATGTCCTCCTTGGAGGCGCGCGTCCGACCTGAGCATATAGTGTACCCTTATTGTAGTATACAGTTTCCCGACCAGAAAGCGCCCGCCACGACGCACATACTATAAGATTTTTCGATGCGCGCGTCGCCCTTGGGGGGGGGCCGAAGCACATATAGTATAAGTATGTTGGGGTGACGCCAACGCACGGTGGCGGCTGCAGCCCGGAGGCCTCCCAGCCTGGTCTGAGACAAAGCCAGGAAAGGACAAGACCAGACTGGGTCTCAGATCGGGCCTCTGAGGTGCAGCGGTGAGGGCAGTTAAAGAAATCACGACGGGAGGTTTTTTAGCTATTTTCTGCCTCTGGGGGCCCTTACCGGACCCAGGGACTGCCAAAAAGCGACTCAGGACGAAGAACCCGTCCCGGGGAATGGGTCGAGACCTCTGGGGGTCGACACAAGGACGAACATGACGTCGGGGTCTGGGGGGGACGTATCGGGCAGGGAGTTCCGGAACGCTCTGCGTAAGGGCGTTCCAAAAGCGAGCCTGGCCCCGGCACTCACATTTGTGGTGGCGGTCGTAGCCTTTGAAAGGGGGGGCGGGCCCAGTCCCCCGTGATGTGCATCTTGTATTTACTTTGAGGGGCCCTGAGCCTAAAGTTCTGGGCACGTTAGGGCGCGCCCGTGGATCATCGCCTGACTTTTCACGGAGCCAAACGTTGAAAAGCGTTATGGATCTGCAACGTTGGCCATGTGAGCCCTCCAGTGCCACGATGGACCGAGAGACCGTCAAGAGGCCCCAGAGGCGCTAAAGATCTGCAGGAGGCCTCCGAGAGGCCCCCGACAGCCGTAAAGCGACCAGGCCCCAAGAGGCTCACCAGGGGCATCCCAAGAGGCATCCACGAGGACGGTGACCCACAACCGAGGCACGGACGCGGGACGGGCCGAAGGCTGGGTGCACACACACACACACACACACAAGCTTTTCGCACGAGGCACAGACACAGTTTGACCCTCTTGTCTTCAGGACGGCCGGCAGCAGCCGAGGCAGGCGACTCCAGAGGGTAACGCTGGCAAAACGCGCGGCCTGCAGCGCGCACCCCTGGGGGAGCGGGCGAGGCCCTCGACGCGCCGCGCCGCGAGGGGGCCAGGCGAGGGCAGCGTCGCGCGCCCCCCCCCCGGCCCCCCAACGACGCAGATCGCAGACGACGCCCCGGCGTAACCACGCCCTCTGCAGTCGCCGAGGGCCCTCGGGTGCCGGGAAGACCAGCTCCAAGCCGCCAGAATGCGATGCGGGGAGTTCCACACACACGCACACACACACGCACACACACACACACACACATATATATATATATATAAAATATATATAATATATATATATATATTATATTTTATATATGATACCGGAGAAAAACCCAATCAGGGCTATAGGGCTAGGGGCTATAGGGCTATTGAGCTATAGGGCTATAGAGCTATAGGGCTATAGAGAAGTAGGGCTACAGGGCTATTGGGCTATAGGGCTATCACCCTCAGGCACCCCCGGACACCCCCGGGCACGCCCGGGCACCCGTGCACCCGGGCACCCGGGCACCCGGGCAACCCCGGCCCCCGGGCACGCCCGGGCACCCGGGCACCAGGGCACCCGCGCAGGCACCCGGGCGTGCGGCGAAAATCGGCGGCAAACCTAACTTAACCATATGAATCCGCTAGGACCCCTACAGAGGCAAGCTCTGATTGGGGAATATATACACATATGTATATATAGGTGTATATATGTACATACATACATACATACATACATACATACATACATACATACATACATACATACATACATACATACATACATACATACATACATACATACATACATACATACATATAAATATACCTGTGTATACATACATATATATATATATATATATATATATATATTTATATATGTGTACCTCTGTGTATGTGTATATATATATATAGGTACACACACAGCCACCGCATGGGAACCGACGTCCTGGGGACCCGTGCAGCGGGCGGTCCGCGAAAACATCGGCCCTCTGGGCGGTGCTTGTGCGGAAGGCACCGCCCCGAGCCGAAGCGCTGAGCCCGGCGCCCGAACATCCACCGCAGCAGGCCCCCTCCTGCGGCGCGCTGCCGCGGCGGGGGAGGGGAGCCAGGCGCCGCGCCTCCTCTCCGCGCAGTCCTCCAACACTTCGGCCCTCGACAGGTGAGCATCGTCTAACCTACTCCTATCCCCAACGGCGTGGCATAGGCCACACTGGCCGATGTGCCCCCCTGGATGGAGACGTAGGCAGTGTCCTTCGGGTTTCGAAGGGTATATCCCCAACCGGGAGGGCGAGATGGGGTCTCGACGAGGATGAAAATAGGGATGGGGGTTCGGATAAACAATCTTGACACGAGCTGGACCGAATCGCGAAGTCGGATCGGACCAAAAACAGACCGGAAAGATCGTGTGTCCCGTCGCGCCCCTGTCCGCATCGAATCCGTGTCGAGCTCGTCGAACCCGCGTCGACTACACGTCGAATCCGCATCGAACACCAAATCCGCGTCGAGTCCGCCTTGAGCCTGCGTCGGGCACAAGAATACCAGTTTTAGAGACAGACGAGACCCCCGAGGATGCAACGAAACATGCCGAATGGCAGCGACATCGGATCACCGCGACCAGCTCCCGCCAACCCCCCGGCCGATGCCGGCAAAGCGAACCGAATCGAATCGAACCGAATCGACCTGAGATATCCTACTCACCGCTCATCGGCGGGGATCCTTCTCATCCTCCTCGAAGATCCCTCCTCCTCCTCCTCCTCCTCCTCCTCCGCCTCGTTCTCCCCCTTACTGGGATGGGCGCCGGAGGGTTTACATCTGACCTACCCTAGCTATTGTAAGCGGGTTGCAGACCTGTTTTCGACCTCGGGACCCCCTCCCGATCGGGCGTTGGCAGAACTGGGTCTAGTGGGACCTGGTTTCGTGATGTGTACTGGAGGACGCCCCCCCCGCCCGTTCCACTAACCAGAACTGCCGTCACCCGAAATAACACCAGCTACGGCAGACCTGGTTTGGTGATTCTGGCACACTTAGGGGCTCCAGGGCCCTACTACTAAACAGGTCCCCTTACCTGGGGTCCTGGCTATACCCGACTCGAGACCGCAGGATTCCCTGCTTCACCCGCTTGGAGACGCCTGGCCCCACGGCGGCCCCAGCCTCGCGGAACTCCGCCTGGCTTCGGCCCTGGTTCCTACGTCGGGCCTGTCCTCCTACAGGGGGATTTGGACAAATTTAAAACAATAGAAAATACCCCCAAATGGCAAAAAACATGCTTTGGAAACCGTCCCCATATTATTTTTCACTAGTTTTGACTATTCCTCCTGTAGAGGAACAGGCCCGACTTAACCCGATTCCCGGAGCCGCGTTTCAACCCCACTCCCGGCTTGGCCCTCCGATTGTGGATGCCACGACAATGGTCCCATCATTGAATCTAAAATGTGCTTAAGATGTCTACACATGTTCTACACATGATCTAAACATGTTATTTTACGTCTAAAACATGTTCAAAACATGTTTTAGACATCTGGAGATTACATGGCAACATGCTTCCTCTCCATTGTTCGTCCTCCACAACCCTTCTGTCCCTGCTTCATCCCCGCCCCTGACCGGGAATTGTATTGTTTCGTAGGGCCTACAGAACAATTCAATTCCCGGTCAGGGGCCGACACCCCGGTTGGTTCGGGTCTCTACCACTCAGGGCAGGGCTGGAGCCAAGCAATGCTTCCCGTGTTCGTCTTGCTGTCATCTTCTCTCGCTCCGACTTCGCTCTACCGCGACCGAGAGACCCAGACATGATCGCGTCGTGAAAAAACCAGGACGGGAGGTTTTGGGCTATTTTCGGCCCCGGGGGGCCCTGGCTGGGCCTCGGGACCGTCAAACAACGACTCAGGACGAAACACCGGCCCCGGGGAAGGGGTCCGGGCTTCCAGGGACGCCGTCCTGAAAAAATCCGGACGTCGCATGCCTGGGGAAACAGAAGACCATAACAAGAACGGGCCACGAAATTCCCAAAACACCGCTCGGCTCCAGCCCTGGCTCGGGGATCCCCCCCCCCGGGCTGCACGCAAGAGTGACCCTGGGCAAGAATGCCCTCTGGTGCGCGGCTTAGCGAGGGGCGCGGGAAGGGGCCAAACCAGGGCGCGCGCAGACCGCTGCCACCGCTCCGCGCTCGGCGATCGGAAGGGCCCAGTGGGCCCGCACCCAAGGCCACTCAGGCGAAAGGTCACTCTCCCAGACTCCGACGCCACGATCTTTTCATTACGTCGACCCCCAGAGGTCTCGACCCATTCCCCGGGACTGGTTCTTCAGTCTGAGTCGTCGTTTGACGGCCCCGAGGCCCTGTAAGTGCCCCCAAAGGCTGAAAATACTGAAAAACCTCCCGTCCTGATTTTTTCATTGCCCGAAGCGGTCTGGGCTTATCAATCCAGTCGACCACCCCAGGCCCGCGGCGAGCCGGTCCTTGCGGCGCGCGCACGTCGGCGAGCTCGTCTAGCAGCCGTCGCGCCTGGGGGCGCCGCCGGGGGCGGCTCGGCCGTGGCGAGCCGTTCCCCGCTGCGCGCCCTCCCTGCGCGCGTGGTGGGGGCGTCTCCACACAAGCACCGCCTGGCTCGGTGGGTTCGGCTGCTTCGCGGTCGGTTGCGACTACCGTTTCTTAGGTCGGGCATGTCCTCTGACTATTCTTGAACATTCCTCCTGTAGTGGGACATGCCCGACTGCAGATTACCAACTAGACCACCCCGACCCAACCCGAATACCCGAATTTCGGGTTGGGGCGGGGGCAGGGGCGTCATACGTGTTTTCTACATTCCCCGATTCCCCCCACACTGGAATTGTAGGGCAAATCGGGGCCTTCGGGTTGGTTTGGTTGGGGTGGCTTGGTGGGCGGTGAAGTTGTGCTCGGTCGGCACCTTTCGGCCGGTGGCCGTGTCGTTGCTGCGCCGACCTGCTGCGCCCTTCTGGGCCATTTTTTTTGCGGCCTGGTCGGCCCTCGGTCGGCTTCGGCGTTTCCCATGTCGTACCTCATGGGAGTAACCAGTCTCGAACGTATCTCTACCCCTAAGATGGGCGAGCAAAAGGCGAGGACAATCTTAGGGATGTGCCCTTAAGATCGGTATCGAGGTGAGGTGATGCCAAACGCAGGGATAGGGATATGGCTCAAATTGGTGAGGGGATGTTGTATGTCCTGGCGGATATCGGGCTTCCGGGACCTCGAGGCAGCGCGAGCACGGATGGATCAGCGGCGGCCCCCCTCTCTGCACCGTCATCGCGCTGGCAGGAAGAGCGACGGACAAAGAACGAAGAGGTGATCCTAGCCACGGCGAGCCCCGGCCACTAATAGGTTCCCCGACCTAGATCTAAGGAGCTAAGGGGCGTACTTCAGCGGCCTGGATGTACATCATCGGGGCGCTGCGTCGCCAAACCGGGCGGCGCTGGCCTATCGTTTCGGGGGGGCACCTTCCCCGATCCGTGCGTTTGGCGCCCACGCACCAGATTCACGGATCCCAGATCCACGCTCGCGTGCGCCCGAATCTCTGCGGGAAGTGGATATCGAAACGTGGATGACGAGTATATACTAACGCACACGTGCATACACAGATCTGCGAGTGTCAAAGATACGGACATTTGCATGTGGACATACATACTCATGTATAGACGAACACACACACACACACACACACACACACACACACACACACACACACACACACACACACTTTATATATAAATATATATATATATATATATACACATATACACATATATACACATATAGAGATGGGGTTCATCGGCGCGCGAGATGCCCCCCCCCCCAAAACCCCTCCCCCGGGAGCCCGGTCCGAAGCCACTCCAAGAGGCTCCCAAGACCACCCCAATGCGTCCGAAGAGGCTCCCAAGAAGCGCCCAAGACGGCCCAAGCGGGCGCCAAGACAGCTCCCAAAACAGCCGGAAAAAGGGCCCCAAGACGGCTCCCAGAGAGGCCCAAGCGGGGTAGCCCGCGCCGAAAATCCGAGCCTTCCGCTCCCAGACGGCCCCAAGACACCCCCAGAGGCGCCCGAAAGCGCCCCAGAGGCTCCCAAGACGCCCCCAAAAAGCCCCTAAGAGGCCACAGGAGTCCCCAAAACGGCCCTCAGGAGGCTTCGAGACCACCGTCAAGAGGCCTGCGAGAAGTTCCCCCAAGGTGATCCAAGTGAACGCCGCACAAGCCTCATACCCACAACCCGGGCCCAGCGGTCAGACTCCTCGCAGCTTCCGTTGCTTGCCGCCGTGCTCCTCGCTTGTCTCCGCAGGGCGTTTCGGCGGTTCTCTCCGCAGCGCCCGTCCCGCCTTATAGCACTTCGCGCAAGCCACCGGATTGCCCCGCTTGAAAAAATATTCTTTTGGTCCTTCGACAGATGGCCCCCGTCTGTGAACGCGGGCTTCGACCCGTCCTTTTTCGGAGGGCACGCAAAGCATTCAAACTTATCCGCCACCCTGCGCGCATCGTGGCACGCCCGGTACGCTACTGGCCTATGGTGGATCCCCGTCTGGTGGTACTTCTTGATCTGGTCTGACGTCAGATGCCCCGCGTCCTCGAACTCTGGGTTACTCCCGTCCGCATCCTTCGGGCACGCGGAGCACCTGAGCACCCGAGGCGTTTGGAACCCACGTGTGTTCACGCATGTCCCGCTCTCGGGCGTGAGGAACCCACGTGTTTTCACGGCTGTCCCGCGCTGGGGCGTTAGGAACCCACGCGTTTCCACGCATGTCCCGCTCTTGGACGTTAGGAACCATGTGTTTTCACGCCTTTCCCGCTCTGGGGCGTTAGGAACCCACGTGTCTTCGGGACAACCCACAATGCCTCCCAGACGCCACCCCGAGCCCCAAGATTCCCCCCAAGAACCCAACGAAGCAAAAATTTCCGAATCCCTGTGGGCCGACGTGGAGGCCCCAAGAAGGCCTCCAGAAAACACCAAGAGCCAACCAAAAGGACCCGAAAAAGCGCCCTAGAAAGCCTCACAAGCAAAACACGGCAACCGCGAATTCCCCAAGGGGTTGGCGGTGTGGCGAAAGCCTGAGCATACACACATATATATATATATGTATATACATGTGTATATATATATATATGTAAATCTAGCGATGCATAGATCGATATATACAGAATGAGATATAGAGCGATATACAGTGACGTGTATAAATATACACATGGCTATATATATATATATATATATATATATTATATATATATATATATATATATCGATAGATATATAGATCCGCCAACGCGCCTCTGGGCACGGAGTGGGCGTGTCCTCAGGTCCTTCGCCTAATCCCTGGAGCCTCAGTCCTCAGTGCCGAGGGAGTCTCTACGGGGCCCGGATCCCACATTCCGAACTCTACCTGGGCCTTTTCGCGTGCCCCTTAGGCTTCCCGACGTCTTGCCGCATGCCTGTTCGGCCACACGAGGGCCCGAAGGCGGGCCAAGAGGGCCGGACGACGCCGCCCAGACGGTCCAAGAAGGCACTGGGATGCCCAAAGATCATCCCAAGACGCCCAAGAAAGCGGCAAGATGGCCCACGAGACATCCAAGACGCCCCAAAAAAGCTTCAAAGAGGCCTCACAAGAGGGCCCGAAGAGGCAAAGATTGGGCGTTCTCGCCCTTTCGGCGTTCCGATACTCCAAGATGGCCAAAGAGGCATCCAAGACCACCCCAAAACGGCCCAAGAGGCCTCCAAGAGGGCCCCAAGACGGTGTAAGAGTGCCCCAAGACAGCCCAAGAGGCGCCCAAGACGGCCCAAGAGAGCCCAAGACGGGAGCAAAAAGGCTTAAGAAAGGGCCCTAACAGGCCCTCAGGAGGCCCCAAGGGCCCCCAAGAGGCCCAACAGAGGCCCCAAAAGGTCCTAAAACGGACAACCTAGGCACGGTGGCGGGATAGGCCGAAGGCGATCACATCAATACATTGTATATATAGATATAGAAATATACACACGCATATATATATATATATATATATATATATATGCGTGTGCACACATACATGCATACAAACATGCCTACCTACATACCTAATGCCTGCCGACATATCTACCTACATACCTGCCTACCTACCCACTGGCTGACCGGCCTACAAACACAATTACATACATACATTCATCCATACATGCATACATACATAAGATGCATCCATCAATACATGCATGCATGCAAACATACCTACCTACCTACCTACCTACCCACATACCTACCCACCTGTCTACCTATCTGCCGACCTACTTATGTCCAAACATACACCAACACATACATACACACATACACACCTGTACGCATATACACACATGCAATCAGCCATACACACACACACATACATACATACACACATACATAGATACATGCATGCATGCATGCCTGCATGCATACATATATGCATACATACGTACCTACATGCATGCATGCATGCATGCACATGTTCATGCATACATACAAACGTGTGTAAGTACATGCATATATGCATGCATGCGTACTTAGATATATACATGCATACAGACATACATACTTACATACAAACATACATGCAAATACACGCATGCATGCACATATACATACATCTACATACCTACGCACCTCCATGCCCATGGACATGCACAGATGTGTGCAAACAAACATACATAGACACATACATACATGCAGGTATGCCTGCGTAGATGCATGCATGCATGAATAAAAACTGTGTGTATCTATATATGTATGTCTATTTATAGACCAACATACCTACGCCCATATATGTACATATATATATATGTGCACACATACGTCCATCCATACATGCATGTATGCGCACATACATATATACATACACATATTCATGCATACATGCAGGCATGCACACACATGCATACACACATGCCATGCATACATACATCCATACATACATACATGCATACATCTATACATACATATGCATATATATAATATCTATATATATAAACACATACATGTAAACATATGCACACACATACCTACCTACGAGAGAGAGCGTTTCAAGGGCGCTTGCCTTGGGAACACTCGGCAGCGCGTTTCGAACCGGAGGGTGGCCCCTCCCCCAAACACTCGGCGCCGTCGATCAGAGACAGGGGGACTCCCCTCCCCCCTAACCCCCCCCCTCCCGAACCCCCCCCCTCCCAAGGGGCGGGGAGGGGGGGTCCATAACCCCCCCCAAACCCCTGGCGCCGGCACCGGCGCTGGCGGCCGGCGTAGCGCCAACGCATTTTCAACACCCACTCGGCAACCCCGATACAAGAAAGCTTCTGGAAACGGTGTCTGGTCGCCTGGGCCACGTCGCTTAGACGCGTCACACGCTGCGGCCTCCTGGATTTCACCGAGGAGAGGAAGCACGGACGGGCTGGAAAAAAACCAAAGGTCAGAATCCAAAAAATCCTGCTGCCTCCTCATCTGCCTCGAAGTCTTCAGGGGGGTGATCGCCCGCTGCGGCCTCCGCAGCTAGGCTCACGCGGGCTGCTACGTCATGTTCACTCACTTCCTGTTGTTGCTGCCTCCGATCTTCCTGACTAGATTGCCCTTCGGGGCGCGGCCCTGCTTGCCGTCGGCGCCCATGCCCCTGAGGATGGTGGCGAAGGCGTGGTTGAGCGTCATCAGCTTGGATCTCGCGGGGAGGGGGAACGCGACCTCGAGGGGGTGCGTGTGGATCTCTCCCAGCTCGTGCTCCTCCTTTGCCTTTTGGAATAACTCCCTGGCCACGTCCGCGTTGCTGCCTACCACTACCTGTCCGCGCAAGTCCAGGGTCAGGCGCGTCTTCTTGCCGTCGAATGTCTTGCTGTATCCACATACCTTGCACCACTCCTCGATCAAAATCGGGTCCTTCGAGACCTCTATGTTTAGCTTCAGGCGCTCGGCGAGGAACTGGAAGCCCTGGAGGTCGGGGGAGACGCCCTTGGTGAAGAAGCTCTCGATATCGCTCAGAATGCTGCCGAAAAGATGTAGATGGGGGCTCCCCAGCTTGTGACCGCCTCCGATCTGCTTGACTTGCGTGTCGTAATGCTTCTGAAGGTCCACCATGTTGCATATGATCTGGGCGTCGTTGTTGAAGAACTTGGTTACCTGCATCTCGAACTCTAGGGTGCGCATCCTGCTCTCTAGCTGCCTCAGCAGCCTCTGGTCGGAGGCGGCGTTGTCGGTGTTCGCCTTCTTGCCTGGCGGGGCTCCTTCCGCGGACTCGGCGCCGCGAGCCTCCTTCTTCGGGGCGATGAGTAGTCCGCTCCACTCGGCCATGCGGCTCGCAGTCGAACTCCCAATCTGTTAACGTGATCTCGTGCTTGGGAAGCAATACTGGAAGATGCTCGAGCTGTAAATGCCAACGTAGATGTTCTGTTGAGTCAACTTGTTGATCACATATGGGGCATTCCGAGAGCGTGGTTTCGTGGATCTCCAGGCCCGAGCGGGCCCGATCAGGAATACAGGAACCCTTCAGGAAGCTCGTGCGCATATGATTGCTGGCGACAGCCTTGCTTTTGAATATCGTAGAGCATGCAATGCATTGATTGTTGACTGCCATAAGCCGTGCTACGTGTCGTACTCCGTGTGTGCCCGTCTTCGTGTGCGTGAGGTGCTTGGTGAGCGCGTGCTGGGTTGCAAACGTCATTTGGCATGGTACCCCATCCACCCCCAGAGCAGGACATCGATATACTCCTCCTTCCTCGTTCCCCCTCTTCTTCTCCTCCCTGTACTCCTCGATGTGCGTGCGAAAGTGTGCCCTCAAGACGGTGGGGTCTAGCTCGCCAAACTTCTCGTGCCTCAAAAGGTCCAAGATGTTCCCATCTGTTTCGCTCAGGAGGTCGTCCCAATCATCACTAACTCGGAGCGCTTGGAGGTCCTCGGAGAACTGTAGAGCCCAGGGATTCGCATTGCAGTTTAGCGCCAACGCAAACAGCGACGATGACCAGAGAGAGCCCAGGAGGGGGCGGGGGGAAGGTTTCACCCCCCCCAACCCCCACCCCGCGCGCCGGCGCCGGCGCCGGCGCCGGCGGCGGCCAGCAGCGCCGACGGCGGGGACGCAACGACGATGACCAGAGAGGGCCCAGAGGCCGCAGAGGGAACACACAAATCGCCATGTCGAGCCCTCGCATGCTCCTCAGACGCCCCCGAGACCAGTCTGACGAGACCTCAAGAGGCATCAATTAGAACTCTCACCCTTTGCAAAAACACAGTGGCAGGAAGAGCCGATGGCCACACCACCACCACCACCACCGCCACCACAGACCACCATACCACCACCACCACCACCACCGCCACCACCATAACCACCACCACAACCACCACAACCCACCATCACCACAACCACCGCCATCACCACAAACCACCTCACCACCGCCACCACCAAAAACGCCACCACCACCACCACCACCACCAGCACCACCACAACCCACCACAACCCACCACAACCACCACCACAACCACCACAACCCACCACCAGAACCACCACCACCACCACAACAAACCACCACACCATTACCACCACCATCACCACCACCGCCACAACCACCACCAGCACCACAACCCACCACCAACACCACCACCACAAACCACCACACCACCACCACAACCACCACCACCACCACCACCACCACCCATTACCCACCGCCCACCACCCCCCACCACCACCAGCACCCCTACCAGCAACACCACCAACACCACCAACACCACAGCCCACCACCACCACCACCACAAACCACCACGCCACCAGCACCACCACCGCCACCACCACGACCACCACCATCACCACCTCAACCCACCACCACCACCACCACCAAACCACCACACAACCACCACCACCACAGCCACCACCACCACCACAACAGCTCACCACAACCACCACCAATACAACAACCCACCACCACTACCACCACCAACACCATAATCTACCACACCACCACCACCACCACAACCACTACCACTACTACCAGCAGCACAACCCACCACAACCACAACCACCACAAACCACCTCACCACCACCACCACCACCACCGCCACTACCACCACCACCAACACCCCCGCTGCCGCCCCCAGCCGCCGCCGGCGCCGTCCCGAGAAGAGGGAGAGAGGAGAAGTAGGGGAAGGTGGGTGAGGGAGGGGTTCGACACCCTCCCCCCCTACGTTACGGGAGAGGGGGGGTCTGGTTCCCCCCCCCCCTTCAAGCGACCAAAGAACGCGCTCTTTCCTACCTACCTACATACATACATACATGCATGCATATACGCACACGCATGCATGCATGCATGCATACATACGTAGAAAAAGACAGACAGACAGACAGACCGACAGACAGACTGATTGACAGACAGACAAACGTACATACAGACCGGCAGACAGACAGACAGACAGACAGACAGACAGACAGACAGACAGACAGACAGACAGACAGACATGCATGCATGCATGCAGACATGCATACATACAACATACACATTGATTTTCTGACCGTCGCAGTACAAATAATGCAGGGTCCCGAGGGGCCCATTTCGGGGTCTCTTGAGGTCGTTGGCAGGCCGTCGTGGGGGCCTCCCGGCTCTTCTTCGAGCCATCTGGGGCGTTTTGGCCCCTCTGGGCAATCTTGGGGGCCTCTTGGGGCCGCTCAGGGGCGGTCCAGGGCGGTCTGGGAGCCCTCTTGGGCCGTCTTCGTGCCCGCCTGGGCCGTCTTGAGCTCCGCGGGGTGCCCCCTTGGAGCGTCTTGGGGCCGTCTCGGGCCCTTCCTGGGTCGTCCTGGGTTCGTCTCGGAAAGCATCCGTGCGATCGATTATCCGCGGGATCGCGAGCCCAGAATTAGGTCGGGCGTGTCCCCCTACAGGCGGATGTTGCAGGAAAAACTGGAAACACTCAAAGAATATTCAGAAATAGTCAAAAAGTTATTTTGACCTATTTTGAAAAGTTCCTCCTGTAGAGGGACAAGCTCGACTCAAGCCCAGTATCCAGACCGCCAGGGCGGGGATACGGATATGTTCGCCGCTCGTGAGTCTCCGAGGACTTCCACATCGCGCGCCGCAAGGCTCTTAATATTGGAGGGGGGGGTCCGATGTAAGCTGTCTTGAAGGGTGGTGGGGGGTCTGGGCACAGGGCAGCCCTGTAATGGCTGGCCCATGCCATACTGATGGCTCTTGCGAATCGACGCTAAGCCTAAGTCGGGCCTGTCCCCCTACAGGCGGGCGTTGGGCGAGAAAAAGAAAATAGTTGTTCTTCTTTTACAGCAAAAAAAGCAAGAAAAGAAAATAAAAAAAAAATAAAAAAAACGAAATGGTCAAGAGATGCACAAAAAATCGTGCCCTGATCATTGTTTGACGATTTCTCCTGTAGAGAAACGGGCCCGATGTTCCCAACCATCCTGTGGTGTTGGGTCCTCGTTTTGAAGAGAGAGAGAGAGAGAGAGAGAGAGAGAGAGAGAGCGCCCCGCGTCCCACCTCCTCTCCTCCTCCCCCCCTCCCCCCTCCTCCTCCTCCTTGCCTTTGCTCTCGGCACACCTCTCACACGTTTCGTAGCCCCATGGGGAGCTCCACCGAAGGTCCCAGTGGCACAGCCCGCATGCGGTTCCCCCCACCCAGGGCAGCGCTTCGTGGCCCCATAGGGAGCTCCACCGAAGGTCCCAGTGGCACAGCCCGCATGCGGTTCCCCCGCCCAGGGCAGCGTTTCGTAGCCCCATAGGGAGCTCCACCGAAGGTCCCAGTGGCGCAGCCCGCATGCGGTTCCCCCACCCAGGGCAGCGTTTCGTGGCCCCATAGGGGGCTCCACCGAAGGTCCCAGTGGCACAGCCCGCATGCGGTTCCCCCACCCAGGGCAGCGTTTCGTGGCCCCATAGGGAGCTTCACCGAAGGTCCCAGTGGCGCAGCCCGCATGCGCTTCCCCCACCCAGGGCAGCGTTGCGTAGCCTCATAGGGAGCTCCACCGAAGGTCCCAGTGGCGCAGTTCGCATGCGTCCCCCCCACCCAGTACAGCGCTTCGTGACCCCATAGGGAGCTCCACCGAAGATTCCAGTGGCGCAGTTCGCATGCGTTCCCCCCCACCCAGTACAGCGTTTCGTGGCCCCATACGGGGCTCCCCCAAATGCGATACCCACAACTGCATATGGTTGGGTCCTTCGCCAGGCTAATTTGACTATTTCTCCTGTAGAGAGAGAGAGAGAGAGAGAGAGAGACGGGCCCGACTTAACGCTAAGCGACATTAACATACGCTAAATTGACGCTGATCGTCGCTGAAAATCGGCGCTGTCTCGTCGACTGCCGACGCCAGCGCACGCCCACCAGACTCCCATGAGTTGCTACCGACGTCCGAGGAGGTTGTGACTAAAGGGCCCCAGGGACACAGAAATAATAGATAGACACGAATCTCAGGATTAACCATACGTATGCCAACGTATGGTCTTGAGCGGCGTCTTCCCCTCCGATTTCTATATTCGCCCACATGTTCATGGGAATCGACGTTCATTCAGGACTACGTTTTTCCCTCCTGAAAGACCCCCTCCATTTTCAGAGACCGAGGACAACGATGTTTAAAACGCGTTATCGCTGAGAACGGACAAACGAGTCAAAACCGAACATTCAAAACGACTATTTGGAACGAAACGGGTGCCAAACGAAAACGAAAAACGAAACGAGGCAGCCATTCGACGAGAAAACAGAAAGAGAAAAGAAACAAAACAAATAGCCTGGCGAAAGACCCAAATGCAGTTGTGAGTGACGCTATTGTGGATATCGTTTTCGGTGGAGCCCCCCCATGGGTCACGAAACGTGTGAGGTGCGTGCCTACATGGGTGGCGGGTACGCACGCGAACACCGCCACCGGGGCCCCCAGTGGGGCTCTCTATGAGGCTACGAAACGTGCGAGGGGTGTGCCGGAATGGGTGGAGGGGACGCACGCAACACCGCCACTGGGGCCTGCGGTCCCTATGGGGCCACGAACCGTGTGAGGGGTCTGTCGAAATCGGTGGCGGGGACGCATGCGAACACTGCCATTGGGGCCTTCGGTGGAACTTCCTATAGCACCAAGAAACGTGTGCGTGATGTGCCCGAATGGGCAGCGGGGACGCAACCGAACACCGTCAGTGTCGCCTTCGGTGGAACTTCCTGTTCCTATGGGGCCACGAAACCTGTGAGAGGCTATACCGAAAGGGGGTGGCGGGGAAGCATGCGAACACCGCCATGGGGCCTTCGGTGGAGCTCCCCTATGGGGCCACGCCACGTGTTAGGGGTGGGCCGAAATGGGTGGCGGGGACGCATACGAACACTGCCACTGGAGCCTTTGGTGGAGCTCCCTGTGGGGCCACGACACGTGCTAGGGGTGTGCCGAAATTGGTGGCAGGA